AATTTAGGGGCTGAGATTGGGTTTTTGAGCTTCAGAGCACAAAGGCCTTCCACTAACCTCTTTTTTATGAGCATTAATGTTTAACAATGCTTCCAAACTGTTGTCAAAGCCGTGACGCAGATTAGAAACAAGCATCCTCTGTTATTTTTCTCTTCCAAGCTGTGTTTCCAAAGTACGACGAAGTTAAGAGCAGAGCATGAGCCGCATTGTTTCTTATTGCCCCGTGCTTCAGGGAGTAATAAACATCCCTCATTTTGCTCGGACGGTAACGTTTATTTCCCTCATGATGAGGTGCACACAGGATAACACACACATATTAAAAAGAGCCACAATAAACAACCTGACTGATGCGTGCGCGCTGACAGGAGGATGGGGGGGGGGGGCAAGATTAATGGAAGGCGGCTGTCATCAACGAGGGAGGTGGAGATAAAGATAAAAGCAAAACCCGACAGCAGAGAAAGATCCAAACAGGAAGCAGGGAAAGAGGAGTGTTGTCATCGATCCGCTGACAGAGGTAGTTTCTGCCCAGGAGCACCAGAGAGGAGGTGGAGTTGAAGGCAGGAGTAAAATCATGAGTTTTTCTCCTTTTAAAAGGCCAAAGAGGGTCAAAGTCTTTGTTTACAATCTAGGGGTTTAGTTTATAGCGTTACGGAAAGATTCACACCCTTACAGTTGTCATGACGATAAACTAGACCTATTAGTCCTAAAATGTTTTTAACCAGGCAGTAAGCAAGTTCATTTCTGCTGAGGAGTTGGTTCACAGAGCAGATTCCTGCTCCTCCGGATGAGGGAACCCTAACCCTTCTTCATCAGAGAGTCAATATCCTGCTTCACAACCGAAGAGATCAGCCAATAAAGACCAGACCTGGAGTTGTGGGTTTTATCCCTCTAATATTCTCCGTCTTCGTGCTGCGCTCGTCTCCTCCTCTCCTCCACCAGGAACCTCTCAGCAGGAGGTGGTGTTCAACCTCTAAAAACTCTGAAACTTTTAATACAAACACACCCATAAGTGTTGTTCAGCCTGAAGTTACACACGTCCGCTATCTTCTGGTGTAAAGTAGTAACTTCACGAGGGTTAGCTGTGGCTTGTTAACTCATCCACTGCCAGCCGTTTCCTGATCGGTAAAGCCCTTCGCTGCCAGCGTTTCTCACCGTTTTTACTGTTTTTAAGAGTCACAGAACGTTGCGCGCTAGGATGATGTCAACGCCAAAACAGCCAAAACAAAGCGGAGACTCACCTCTTACATCAGGAAGAATCTGCACGTTTCGAGCGTTATCCGTTCTTTCATAAGCCGTTGTTGAATTGTGATCGGCAGAAGCTTGTCCGGTTTGCGCCTCGCTTTTTTTTTTTACAGCAGCGGCCCAAAACGATCTCCTAACACGTGGATGTTCTGCTTCCTGATCACGTGACGTGTGACGTACGCGGATGAAGATCGGCTTTAGAGCTGAGATGTTTGTTCTCACGGTGCGGGGGCTCGTCCGACACCCGCACAGTAAAAAAATGCGGTTAAAGAGTTAAAGTCAGTAATGACGGTCAAAGCTCTAGCTTAGAGTTAAATACGTTATTTAATGTAACTTTAACTTGAGAGTCATTAGGAACTTGCTACTTTCTGGTGCTGGCCCCTAGTGGACGAGGGCGGAACTGCAGCTAGTGTCACTTCCGAGTTAGCCCCTTGTTTTAATCGTAAGCCAAATATGAATTCTTTACTTTTCCTTATTTCACGCTGAAAACGTGAAGCACATCTGAGGCAGAAGTGATGCGATCTCACGCAGATGTGAACACACCCAGATCAGACCACCTCTCCTGTTATGAGTCCACATGTAGGAAGTGAAAAGTTTAACGCCGGGGACACACCGGCCGCCGAAGCGCCGCGAAATTGGGACTGCCTTCATTCGGCGCCCTTGTTATCCTATTCTATAGACCACATGGGCCGCCGAAGCGCCGCGCGCCGGCGCTCCAGCCCGCGCCGTGCAGCGATCGTTTCGGCGTCTGCTCTATTTTTTTCGCGAGCCGCGGGTGAACTGCGTCAATTCTGGCAGGAAGTCAAACCTAGACATAAGAGGCAGGCTGGTAAATTTAACAAAATAAAGCATTTCAAAATACAATTCCACGATAGTCAAATGTGTTCGTAAACAGACACAAACACACACACACAGCGAACTTGTGTGTGTGTGTGTGTGTGTGTGTGTGTGTGTGTGTGTGTGTGTGTGTGTGTGTGTGTGTGTGTGTGTGTGTGTGTGTGTGTGTGTGTGACCACGTGAAGGGGGTGTGGTTTTGGGTGTCTTTCAACCGGAGCAAACAGGACAAAGAGGCAGAAAGTTGTAGGCCAGCTATTAACAACTGGTTCACACCATAGGTTCACACACACACACACACACACACACGTACAAACACACACACGTACAAACACACACACAATCAGCTAGGGGGAGGGGGGTGTAGAGGAAAAAGAGCAGAGTAAAGGCAGAGAGGAAATGGAGGACACCAAGTGGTTAAAGAGCAAGTCACCCCCAAATAAACTTTTTTTTGCTGATAAACTAAATAAACGAGTGTCTAATCGTGCTGCAGACACGTGTCGTCAATAATTTGGCACTTCAGTGCATCTTAGTTAAAATTTAAATATTCTGCCTAAAACTGTCAGTGTTGTGCCGTCGTCAGGTAAAAACTCTGCACTGCATTCTAATTTAAATCTGCCACCGCTATTGGCTAAGAGGTATGCTATGATGTAAACTGGTACATTATGATGTCACAATGCTGTCGTGAGCCTGTCTGTGTGTATCTGTTAGCAGCTCCGCCCTCTCGGTCTGCCAGGCAACAGCATTTGTTACATTTTTCAAACATGAAGTGGGAGTTGAGTTAGAATCTGGTAGGGGTTGACTTGCTCTTTAAAAAAACTAGGAGGCGCGCCTCGACCGGAGCGGAGAAACAAGCATCTGGTCTGAACTGAGGAGCAGCGAGCAGCGGCCGAATTTCGTCAGCGCTTTGCCTCCCGGCGCTTCGGCGGCCGGTGTGTCCCTGGTGCAATAGTTTTCTCCTGGTCTTCACGAAGAAAAACGTGATTCTGTAAAAACAGCATCCAGACTTCCAGGATGTATTATTTACAGAAAACATCCGGCGCCTTTCCTCCACGTTCCTTGCTGCAGCAATCCCGAACAGAAAAGTTCATGAATGAAATCCCAAAAGCTCAGAGCGAGTTTTTGTTTAGAGCCCCGTGTTTCATCGTCCCAGCTGAAGCCTCACTGACTCTGGTCCTGAGGATAAGACCGTTTAATCCAACCGGAACAACGCGCGGACGTTTGCAGGCGGATTGGATAACGGATTCCCGACACCAACACCAGAAGCTCTTCATTGACTCTGGATGAGTGCTGAATTGTAAAATAACTGACAGGAAACCAATAAAATAAACAATCTGTCAGGATTTCCAACTAAATCATCAACAATTAACTGTTTTAAGGTGATGGTTGATGAATTAAATAAGATTAAAAAGCCTTTAATGTCTTCAGCTCTCAATGATCAAGTTCACTGAGGAACTTTATTAATATGATCGGCCACTCTGAGTTTAACCTAAACATGCAAACAGTCTTCTACCCCTATTTCCTGCTCAAGCCTCCAACATAAAAGAAATGCTTGCATTAGAAAAGCTGCTCAGATCTTCACTGAACAAAATTATGAATGCAACTTATTTGTTTTTGCTTCTAAGGACCCCTTACGCTCAAATATTGTTGACACCTCTGTCTAAATCGGCGTTAGCAAACACTACCAGCTCAGGGGCCAAGTGGCATGAGTGTTCGCCCTGAGACTAGGAGAACGTGGGTTCAAATCCAGTCGGGTCATACCAAAGACCTTAAAAAAGGGACCCGATGCCTCCCCGCTTGACGCTCGCATGAAGGGGTTTGTTTGGGGGTTAAATCACCAAGTAGTTGCCGAGCGCGGGTTTGCAGCTCACCACTCGCCCAGAGGTTGGGTCAAACGTGGAGAACAAATATCACCACACACTAGGGGTTGTATGAACTAGTCGACTTCACTGCTCTATAGTGACTTGTTATGCCTGTCATCGACTAGTCGCTGTCACGTGATAATGACCGGCAAGATGCAGTCCACGGAAAAGACAGCAGCCTGCTGTCAGCAGGTGACGAGCTCCAGCGCGTCGGGAGGCGACGCGCTGTGCCAGAGCGTCGGTACTGACACCCGCCGTAAAACGGACATTTAACCAAATTGCGACCTTTACCCTCTTGCAATTTAACCTTCCCCTCACTCCCATCCTAACCTTAACCAGCTAGCACATGCAAAGCTCTGATCGTTGACGCGCTCCAGACATCTGCGTCCTGAGCACGGCCACAGTAACATTATCAAATCAGGTGTCGCCACCTCAAAAACTAATTTAACACGCGATCGTTCATGTTGGCTCATTTCCTTTTATGTTTTCTGTCTTTTATTCTTTTATTTGTGCCTGATGCGTTTCACTGCTGTGGATCAGAGCGCATCACCTGTTTTGTCCTCCGGTGACGCACCTCACCGGTGTGGCCGGCGAGCACTCCACTGTTTTAGCGGTCGGTAGATCTTTTAGAACTGCAGTTCAAAGGTAACTCATGAGGTGAATATATATGAACCCAGGTAGCAGTTTCTCTTTAGGATTGAGAGGAGATGCAGGAAGATAATAAACAGACAGGACAGAAAAATAGTCAAATAAAAACAAGTTAGTTTTTGTACCTGCTGGTTGCAACAAACAGACACCATTGAAGGTAATCAGAAGTGAGGAACAGAAAATGAAATAATTATTTTAATGTTTAGAGCAGCAGGAACTCCGAGAGGCTGCAGGCGCATCAGTGAGTTTGCGGCCACTGCACAGGGGGAGGGGGGAGAGGGTTGAAGCAGGGGGAGGGGGGAGAGGGCTGAAGCAGAAACTACCGTTGTTAAAAGAAATGTGTTTAACTTTGAAAATGTGGGCGCAATTTTAATTGTCAAAAACTCCAGCGATCCAACCGAACCCCCCCCCCCCCCTCCCCACCCCTGCGCCGCTTCAGGTGTATGACATCATCAACGACTAGTCAAAGTCGACTCGATTTGCATTACTTGACAGTCGACTTAAAAAAAATTAAGTCATGCAGCCCCTACCACACACTAGTGCAGGGCTATTCGTTTCCGGGCCTTGAGTGCCGGTATCCAGCACCTTTTAGTGATTTCTCTGCTCCAACACACTAGACTCAGTGGTTGAATCACCTGTGCAGCAGCTCATCAGACTCTGCAGAAGCCTGTTAATCACCTGCTGATTGAAATCAGGTGTGTTGAAGCCGAGTTAAAACTAAAACATGCTGATACCGGCCCGCCAGGCCCGGAACACGGAGCGTTCTCCCAGCGGCAGCCAGGTGCCTCTCGTTTGTCTGACTACTTTCATAAACTACTGTTAGGGCAAAGAATTATTCTGTCTGGAGCTTTCAGCGCTGCACAGATGTTACGTAAATGTTAAAAATATAGCTTACCGCAACTGTTGTAAAGTTTCCGGTGCCACCGGGCAGCTGCAGCAGAGACGATCTCTGAAAAATGTCCGCGACACGGACTCCGTTGTTGTCTGGAAGTTTATTTTTTCCAAGTTAAGAAAAGAGGCGGGCGTGTTTCCTAAATCCTGCATCAGTCCAAGCAAGGCAACTTCTTTCTGTTTTTATTCTGTTTTAGTAGCCATTAGCACTGTGCATTGTTGTGTGCGTCAGTGATATTTGGTCTACGAGGAAATCGCGCAATGACAAAGGTTCCGCCGTGCTCGAAAAGCAAGCTGCGATTAAATGCGTTAATTTTTTTACGCATCATTTTTTTTCTAATTAATTAATCAATTAACGCGTTAATGTCACAGTCCTAATTACGATTTTCATAAAATTATATGTTACATATATTTAATGTGATAGTAAAATACTTTACATGTAGATACATTTTGTCATATCTTTCATTTATTAAAATAGATTAACTAAATGTGCAATTTTTCACATTATGTAATTTCTTGCTATACATGGCCTATATCTGCACATATAAATGATGACATCTGTTTATTCTTTAATAAATACATATATTTTAACTCTGAATGATCTCTCTCTCTAAACATATATGTATTTGTACACACATATTTGTATGTGTATATTACATATAGTCTCACATATATTCAGATATTTGGTGTTCATATACCTTTGCATTTATTTTAGAATGAGTTATCAGATTTCTATATATTGAATTATATTGTTCAATATATTACTGCATATTTTACAATATATTCCAATATATTTTTCTTCCATTGACCTTTAAAGAATAAGAAGCATGAAGAGAATATCAGTAATTTTGTGTATTTTGATGGAAAACCCCGTTTCTAACATGCATAATATTTGACTCTTTTTTATTTTAGCAACTGCAGAGATGATAATGTCCCTCAGGATCGAGTCCTTGAGGAGTACACATTAGCAGATTTTCTTTGGAGGTCTAAAACGAAACACAAAGATTGTTAAAATGACTCAACTTCTTTTGTGTTGCATGTTTTCTGTTAAAGTTTTCCATTAAATACATTTTAAAAGAAGGCAGGAGTGTTTTCTTGCCTTGTTTGTTGTCTCTGGAAGAGGAAGAGTACGGGTATGATGACGAGTTCTCAGTGAGCCGTCTGTGTTTCTCCTCAGGGTAGAAAATGTGAGAGGAACATGAGATAACGTGCAGAGAGGAGATGCCAGGGAGACAGAGGGGAAAACGAGGAGGGGATTGGTTTTCTGTCTGCGTTGTGTTTTTTTGTTTTTATAAGAAGAAGATAAGACAAAACCTTCTGCTGGTGTTGTGAACGCTCAGCTTAAACCCGCAGATCCAGCTTCCCTCTGCTGCAGATGGACGGATGGCCGACAGGCGGGAGGGAGACGGGGAGATGTGTGACATGGAGCGAAAATAACCCAAAGCTAAAAATGAGCTGGCAGTTGGACGTACAGCGCAGTAGAGAGGAATGGAGAGAGACGGAGCAGAAGCAGGAAGGACAGCGACAGAGACTCTGACTCTGATGATGTCAGATCTTGTAAGAAGTCTCCGTCAAGCTGCACTGACACGCTCCGGCTGGCGGTGATCCGTAAACACGCGGTTGAAACTCTAAAGCACGAGCTCTGATGGTAGTTTCCTCTGGCTGCAGGTGTCCTTGGGGCAGACACGGAGGAGCGACTGGTGGAGCACCTCCTAAACCCAGCTCACTACAACAAGCTGATCCGTCCCGCCACTAACGGTTCTGAGCTGGTCACGGTGCAGCTGATGGTGTCGTTGGCCCAACTCATCAGTGTGGTGAGTCGTGTTCATCTCTGTCATCAAACACCAGACTCATACTTTAGTCTGCTTCACTTATTCATGTTAAACAGCTACAGTAGTGCTCCCAAGGGGTGACCGGCAAACCTTGGAAAATTGTTGGCCACCTCATTCCAACCCCATATCCCCCCCCCCCCCCCCCCCCCATGCTCACACAAACCATATATTCACTGTTGAAGACAGTGAATACATATTTATTGAGTATATACAACACCAGGCCCAAAAAATGTTGCTGTGGCGTTGTTTTGATAAGCTTCACCAGATTTATCTCCGTCCAGTGTTGCATTAATGTTCCACCAAGATCTTGCACTGATGATGGTGGAGTCTGACCGCTGCACAAAGCTTTCTCCAGCACATCCCAAAGATTGTCAGGGGAATAACCTGGTCATTCAGGATATTCAGGTAGTCAGCTGACCTCGTTCTTGGAGCACTTCCTGTAGCTGAACCTAGACCTGACCACCTGCAGCAAGCCCAGATCATAGCACTGCCCCCACAGGCTCGTGCAGTAGGCACTAGGCATGATGGGTGCATCACTTCATCTGCCTCTCTTCTTACCCTGATGCGCCATCACTCTGGACCAGGGTCCATCTGGACTCATCAGGCCAGTTATAATAAAGCGTTGGACATTTCTGAACCCAGTTTTAGTCGTTTCTGCATCTCCTTAGATGTTTTCTCTGCTTGATGCTAACGATCTGACCCTTCTCACACAGACTAACATCTTCTCCACCACCAGATGTGTCTTTCCACCTGGTTGTTTAAGAAATGAGAAGCAGCTCTGGGTTAAATAACTTGTTTTATAATCGCCCGTGCGGTAATTATCCACTAGGAGGCTCCTTCCTGTTTGACCAGTTAGATCCAGGTGGAGATCTTTTCTGGCTGGGCTGGGCGGTCTGTATGTATGTCACTGAGTTTCACCATTAAAAAACATAAAAATACTTTTGTGGATCTTATTGTTGAAGCAACAGACACATTAAACTTATTTAAAATTCTAAAACAACATAATTTCTTGACAGTTACGGAAATAACAGTTTGAAAGTTGTTTTTTTTCTGAAATGTTTCTTAAATTTGTAATAAATGTGTTGGAGCGATGCACGGCTACAGGCGCTCCCAGAGTTACCACAAGGACCAGTGTGGGGTTTAACTGTCCCCGTCTGCTGTCCTACACCTCGCACTGACTACATGAGTGAAATGGGCAATTACTACACTGCTGTTTAACTCATTCGCTGCCAGTGTTTCTCACCGTTTTACTGTTTTTTTAAGAGTCACTGAACGTTGCGCGCTATGGTGATGTTGACGCCAAAACAACCAAAACAACCAAAACAAAGAGGAGACTCACCTCTTACATCAGGAAGAATCTGCGCGTTTCGAGCGTTATCCGTTCTTTCACAATCCGTTGTTGAATTGTGATCGGCAGAAGCTTTTCTGGTTCGCGCCTCACTTTTTTTACAGCAGCGGCCCAAAACGATCTCCTAACACATGGATGTTCTGCTTCCTGATCACGTGACGTGCGCGGGTGAAGATCGGCTTTGGAGCTGAGATGTTTGTTCTCATGGTGCGGGGGCTCGTCCGACGCCCACACAGTAAAAACATGCACTGAATGAGTTAAGTACATCAGTCAACATACGTAGACTTTTAGTGTACTTTTTAGAATAAGCCATGTATAAATAACATTGCATTAGCAAAGTGGATCACGGCGTAGGTACACTAAGAGAAAACTGAAAGTCTTATTTTCACTTTAAAAGGAGGATTGAAGCATGCTTGCATGTACTGCCTTTTGGTAAGGGTGGTCACCATCCAGAGATTGGTGCATCTATAGTGAGCAGGATTCTATAAACCACAAGAAGACCTTGCTGCTGGTGTTCTGTAATGATGTCATTGTGTTCTTTTACAGCATGAAAGAGAGCAGGTGATGACCACCAACGTCTGGCTAACGCAGGTGAGACTCCAAGCTTTGCTAACCCTAACCCTCCCCACATACAGAGACAAGGGGAAACACGAGCCCTGGTAAAATCTCTCTCTCCACCGTCGTATGTGATGATGATGTCACCCTACAGGACAGCGAGATGCATGGGCTGCATCTTTGTCCTCTACATGTTTCAGGGGTTTGTGGGCCACTGAACCGAAGCAGCTATGAGATCAAATGAACGAGAGGCAGTCAGGAGGCCAGAAACCAGTCCCGTAAAAATAACGCACCCCTACATTTTTACCATGGGGTGGAAACGTGTTTGAAAACAAATAAATCAGACAATTATTCATTAGAGCTGTTTTTCTCATCTAGTTTTATGCCACAGTTTTAATATTATCATGATTCTGATTGTTACTCATGCTCTGGCGGAGCTTTGACCTTTTACAGCACTACGGCACATTAGCATGCGTGTGTAACACCGTGCACAAACATGTCACAGCTGACACAGTTTTAGTTTAACTCCTAACGCATGGATTTTCTGCTTCCTGATCACGTGACGTGTGACATATGCGGAGGAAGATCAGCTTTAGAGCTGAGATGTTTGTTCCTACGGTGCGGGGGCTCGTCCGACGCCCACACAGTAAAAAAATGTAAATGACAGCTTTAGTCTCGTCATTGGCAGTGAACGGGTTAATGAGTAATGAGTTTGACATTTGGACTAAAGTCCTCTCCAAACTACAAAGAAACAACTAAATCAATTCTTATCAGACCTAGACTCCAGCTGATTGAGTCCAGTTTTTTATGTGGAAATTTAAATATTATAAAAATGCATTAAAAAGTGTTAAAATGTAAAACTCAGTTAACAGATGCAGAACTGCTTCAGCGTCGTGGGAGAGTTTAGGATTTCCCTTTTAGTTCCCACTTTTATTTTTTCAGTTTTCCAAACATTCTGGCCCTTTTGTAGCTCCATATAAACTTTCGCTGCAAACTGAAGATAATGAGATATTGTGCTAACCAACATGCACGGTTAGCACACGGCCTTTGACCTTTCATCGCCATAAGGAGCCAACTCCAGTAAGAGCTTTCAACACCTCCTGCAGTAGGTGTTCATGCTTCTGTGGCGGGGTCACCAATGTTCACTGAGGATGAAACAGGAGACACAAGCAGCATCTTAGATTATAATTTACATGGATTTACTGTTAGCTCAGATTTTGTTGGATGCAGCACAATTTGATCCCCTACTTCCATCTACTGATGAAAAATAAACCAAAACAAGCTGCTGAAGTCTCTCAGGACGATTAAAGCCAATCAGTTTGACTTACCAAGCCACACAAACAGCTGGATTTGAATCCGTGGGTGGAATAACTTAGAAACATCCCAGTTTATACTCACACGTCCACCTGAACGCGTTGAAATTGATGGGGTTTAATGGAACGTAGAAGGAACACCAGTGCTCCATAGATCCCTACAACCAGGAATCTCTGCACACGCGCACACACACACACACACACACACACACACACACACACACACACACACACACACACACACACACACACACACACACAAGCATCTTCTCCTCTCTGAAGGCTCAGGAGGAGAGGATGTCTCCTAGCAGCCATGTGATTGGCCGACGAGTGACTGAGCCTGATGTTTGTGCTGGCCCTCAGGAGTGGCAGGACTATCGTCTGACTTGGGTCCCTGAGGAGTTTGATGGGATGCTGAAGGTCAGGCTGCCCTCCAAACACATCTGGCTGCCTGACGTGGTCCTCTACAACAAGTGAGTCGCTTTCTCATGACCCATGACCTCACTTACATCACAAAACAATCACAGGGTGTGCAATAAAGGAAGAAAACCATTTTTATTTACTGGGTTGATCAGATTGTTAACATGAGTTAGAGAGAGTATATAATGTTTTGTTGTTTCCTGCACTTTGTGCACAGCAACAGTTTTTTTAGATGTTCTGATGACGTCCTTTTACAAATCTGTGCCATGATTCTACAAATATGCTGTGAAGATACGGTCTTGTCTACCTGCAGAATGCAAAAGAATCACCAAACCAAACAGCGGAACTTTCAGGAGGTTTGATACGCTGGTGTTTTACTCAGCAACGCGGTCATAGGGCATGAGTATATCCAGAAGCAGGGCCAGGGAGGGACAGGCCTTGCTCACCGAAAACCTGGAAATTATGATCATAACGCACAGCTCACACTACTGATGGTGCAATGGAAATAGGATACTATAAAAAAACCTCACAGGAATACGTTTCTATTCGAGTAACTTCGATAAGAGCCCCAACAGCGTTTTAGCATTTTGCAGTTCAGGGAAGTTTCACTGATGTGTTGGCCGGATGGATTCTCCGGTTGGCCCGCTGCATGGCTGCTAGCTTGGAAAAAAATCATAGATTTTACATCATGGTAAAAAAAAAATTCTATTATGTTTTAACTAAAGTCCAGATGTTTTAGTTTAACTACATAGGATGTATTTGTAAATCAGCTGAAGAGCAGCGGAAACAACACTGAGGTTACCGTGGTTACGTGAAGTTCCTGTAAAACACGTGGCTACATGTTCATGTTTGTGGCTTTGAAGAACAAAATAAAAATGCATTTGTTTGGGATTAGATAAGACAGCGTGATAATACTGAGTTAAAGAGTAAGAGTGATAGCAGGTGAGAGAATTATGCAGACGTCCCGGACAAGACCCCAATTATTTGACATGACTGAATAAAATGAGACACAGCATGTAAAAATAAATAACAGGATTTATTAAACTGTTCCATTTATGTTACATGATGGCATGTGGACGTCAGTCAGCTCCATGAGTGAAGGATTTGGATGGTAGTGTTGTAATGAACAGCGTACCTGTTGGGGAAGCAGAGACATTTTAGTTCTTCCACATGACCTAATTAACCTAATTATATTGGGCTGTAACAATAATATAGTAAAAATAAAAATGTATGAGTAACATGTGTCAATGAATCCCTAAACTAATCTTCAGTTCAACAATGTATACCTTCCTACTTCACGCATGTTGTGTCCATCAGAGTCTGCTCACATGTCGGTGGTAAGTAATACGTTGTAGACCATTGTCGTCCTGTAACGAAAACTTGGTGTCAGAATGCAAATCAGCTGATCAGAGAACAGCGTGACCGTCTCTTCTTTCCTTGCTTCTCTCACTTTGTTAGTGTTGATTAAAAGATCAGTGACCCACCGAACTCTGGATAAAATGATCCTGGTAATCCCACGTACCCCGGGCTGGCAGGCTGGTGTCTAAATCTTGGTTGCTGTCATTCTTTATTTTTTTAATGATTTTTAAATGTTCGTCTTCGTCTTCGTCTTCGTCTTCCTCCGCTTATCCGGGTCCGGGTCGCGGGGGCAGCATCCCAATTAGGGAGCTCCAGGCCGTCCTCTCCCCGGCCTTGTCCACCAGCTCCTCCGGCAGAACCCCAAGGCGTTTCCGGACCAGATTGGAGATGTAACCTCTCCAACGTGTCCTGGGTCGACCCGGGGGCCTTCTGCCTGCAGGACATGCCTGAAACACCTCCCCGGGGAGGCGTCCAGGAGGCATCCTGACCAGATGCCCAAACCACCTCAACTGGCTCCTTTCGATCCGGAGGAGCAGCGGTTCTACTCCGAGTCCCTCCTGAATGTCCGAGCTCCTCACCCTATCTCTAAGGCTGAGCCCGGCCACCCTACGGAGGAAACTCATTTCGGCCGCTTGTATCCGCGATCTCGTTCTTTCGGTCATTACCCAAAGCTCATGACCATAGGTGAGGATTGGGACGTAGATCGACCGGTAAATCGAGAGCCTGGCTTTCTGGCTCAGCTCCCTCTTCCCCACGACAGATCGGCTCAGCGTCCGCATCACTGCAGACGCCGAACCAGTCCGCCTGTCGATCTCCCGATCCCTCCTACCCTCACTCGTGAACAAGACCCCGAGATACTTAAACTCCTCCACTTGAGGTAGGACCTCTCCCCCGACCCGGAGGTGGCAAGCCACCCTTTTCCGGTCGAGAACCATGGTCTCAGATTTGGAGGTGCTGATCCTCATCCCACCCGCTTCACATTCGGCCGCGAACCTACCCAGCAAGAGCTGAAGGTCAGAGCTGGATGAAGCTAGGAGGACCACATCATCCGCAAAAAGCAGAGACGAGATTCTCCTGCCACCAAACTCGACACACTCCACACCACGGCTGCGTCTAGAAATTCTGTCCATAAAAGTGATGAACAGAACCGGTGACAAAGGGCAGCCCTGGCGGAGTCCAACCCTCACTGGGAACAGGTCCGACTTACTACCGGCTATGCGGACCAAACTCACGCTCCTCTGGTAAAGGGACTGAATGGCCCTTAACAGAAAGCCACCCACCCCATACTCCTGGAGCGTCCCCCACAGGGTGCCCCTGGGGACACGGTCATAAGCCTTCTCCAAATCCACAAAGCACATGTGGATTGGTTGGGCAAACTCCCATGCCCCCTCCATCACCCTTGCAAGGGTATAGAGCTGGTCCACAGTTCCACGGCCAGGACGAAAACCACATTGCTCCTCCTCTATCTGAGATTCAACTATCGATCGGACCCTCCTCTCCAGTACCTTGGCGTAGACCTTTCCAGGGAGGCTGAGGAGTGTGATCCCCCTATAGTTGGAACACACCCTCAGGTCACCCTTCTTAAAGATAGGGACCACCACCCCGGTCCGCCACTCCCTAGGAACTGCCCCCGATGACCACGCAATGTTGTAGAGACGTGTCAACCATGACAGCCCTACAACATCCATAGCCTTGAGATACCCAGGACGAACCTCATCCGCCCCCGGGGCTCCGCCGCTGTGTAGTTGTTTGACTACCTCAGCAACTTCTGCCCCCGAGATCGGACAGTCCATCCCCAGGCCTCCCAGCTCTGGTTCCTCCTCGGAATGCGCATTGGTGGGATTGAGGAGCTCCTCAAAGTATTCCTTCCACTGTCCGACTATAGCCTCAGTTGACGTCAGCAGCTCCCCATCCCCACTGTAAACAGTGTGAGCGAGTTGCTGCCTTCCTCTCCTGAGGCGCCGGACAGTTTGCCAGAACCTCTTTGGAGCCGATCGATAGTCTTTCTCCATGGCCTCACCAAACTCCTCCCACGCCCGAGATTTTGCCTCGGCAACTGCCACTGCTGCACCCCGCTTGGCTATCTGGTACCTGTCTGCTGCCTCCGGAGACCCACAGACCAGCCACGCCCTGTAGGCCTCCTTCTTCAGCCTGACGGCTCCCCGAACCTCTGGTGTCCACCAGCGGGTACGGGGGTTGCCACCACGACTGGCACCGGCCACCTTACGACCACAGCTAGCAACAGCCGCCTCGACAATCGCAGAGTGGAACAAGGCCCACTCGGACTCAATGTCCCCCACTGCTCTCGGGACGTGGTCAAAGCTCTGCCGGAGGTGGGAGTTGAAGACCGTCTTGACAGGTTCTTCTGCCAGGCGTTCCCAAGAGACCCTCACTATGCGTTTGGGTCTGCCAGGTCTACGTGGCATGTTCCCTTGCCATCTGATCCAACTCACCACCAGGTGGTGATCAGTTGACAGCTCTGCCCCTCTCTTCACTCGGGTGTCCAAAACATATGGCCGCAGGTCAGATGATACGACTACAAAATCTATCATCGACCTGTGACCTAGGCTGCCCTGGTACCAAGTGTACCGGTGGGCATCCTTATGTTCGAACATGGTGTTCGTTATGGCCAAACTGCGGCTTGCACAGAAGTCCAATAACAAAACACCGCTCGAGTTCAGATTAGGTGGGCCGTTCCTCCCAATCACACCCCTCCAGGTCAAGCTGTCATTGCCCACGTGAGCATTGAAGTCCCCCAGCAGGACAATGGAGTCCCCTGATGGAGCACTATCTAGCACTCGTCCCAGGGACTCCAAAAAGGGTGGGTACTCTGAACTGATATTTGGCCCATAAGCACAAACAACAGTCAGGACCCGTTCCCCGACCCGAAGGCGCACGGAAGCTACCCTCTTGTCCCCCGGGGTAAACCCCAACACACAGGCAGAGAGTCTCGGGGCTAACAAAAAGCCAACCCCAGCCCTCCGCCTCTCACCCGGAGCAACTCCAGCAAAGTAGAGTGTCCAACCCCTCTCCAGGTCTCGGGTTCCAGAGCCAATGCAATGTGTCGAGGTGAGTCCGACTATATCTAGCCGGTACCGCTCAACCTCTGCCACAAGCTCCGGCTCCTTCCCCGCCAGCGAGGTGACATTCCATGTCCCAAAAACTAGTTTTCTTGTCCGGGGATTGGACCGCCAAGGCTCCCGCCTTGGTCTGCCACCCGATCCACATTGCACCGGACCCTTCATGTTCCTCCTGCGGGTGGTGGGTCCACAGTTGGACGAGCCCATGTATCCGGTTCGGGCTGGGCCCGGCCGGGCCCCATGGGCGAAAGCCCGGCCACCAGGCTCTCGCTCACGGGCCCCAACCCCAGGCCTGGCTCCAGGGTGGGACCCCGGTAACCCTCCGGGCCGGGTACTCCGACTCTTCGTTTTAACCGCCATGAAAGATCCTTCGATTTTTAAATGTTTTTACCTATAATTAATTTTTCTTCTTTTTTTTTTTTCCTTTTTAATTGATTTATTTCCTTTTTTCTCCGTATTATTTTTCTTCTTTTTAATTTTTTCTCCCTTTTTATTATGTTTTTCCCCTGGTTGCTGTCATTCTTTTATTTTTCAACATTTCTTTAATTTTTTCCCTTTAATTTATTTTTTCTACAATTTGTTTCTTTTTTCCTTTTTTTCTTTTTATTTTTTTCCTTTTTTCTTCTTATTTATTTTTTATTGTTTTCTTCTTTTTTTATTTAAAAATTTTCTCCTTTTTTATTAATTTTTTATTTATTTATGAATTAATTTATTCCTTTTTTTCTGGTTGCTGTCATTCTTTTATTTTTTAGAATTTCTTTACTTTTTCCCCTTTATTTTTTCTTCAATTTTCTTTTCTTTTTTTCCTTTTTTCTCCTTATTTATTTTTTATTGTTTTCTTCTTTTTTATTTTTTTCTCCTTTTGTATTTTTTATTATTAATTTATTTTTTTTTTACATATTTTTTTCCCCTGGTTGCTGTCATTCCCTTGAGGCTACAGCTAGAGCTGCTCTCAATAAGATCTTCACAACACGAGATCTAGCAGAAAGTCCATGCATCACCTGGAATCTGTTTTTAAGGCTCTCGTCTGACCTGAGTTGTGTTTCCCGTTTAACCCTCTGTAGGCAGGCGTTGCAGATTTCCAACAGTTTAAACCTACCTACCTGGTTACTCCACACATGTATTTCAGGAGCATTTTTTAACTCAGAAGTACCTCTGAAGGACTTAGTTGTTCGTCCTTTTATCAAAACTTATTTTGAGCCTGAGAGGGTTAAGCTATGTTATCCACGTGTCTGCTGTATGTTTGCGTGTGTAACTTAGCGGGACTGACTTTGATGCTCTAATCAGCTTCTGCTTGTAAGAAAATGAGAGACACTGTCTCCCAGAAAGATGGAGAGGAGACAGTTTCCCTAAATGAATCCATTGTCTTGTTGTGTCTCCCTCTCCACCTGTCCTAGTGCCGATGGGGTGTACGAGGTATCCTTCTACTCTAATGCGGTGGTGTCCTATGATGGAAGCATCTTCTGGTTGCCGCCTGCTATCTACAAGTCAGCCTGTAAGATCGAGGTCAAACACTTCCCGTTCGACCAGCAGAACTGCACGTTGCGCTTCCGCTCATGGACCTACGACCGCACCGAGATTGATCTCGTGCTTCGCGCTGACGTGGCCAGCATGGATGACTTCACTCCCAGCGGGGAGTGGGACATCATCGCCCTGCCAGGCAGACGAAACGAGAACCCAGCCGACCCCACCTACGTGGACATCACGTACGACTTCATCATTCGCAGGAAGCCTCTGTTTTACACCATCAACCTCATCATCCCGTGCGTGCTCATCACTTCGCTGGCGATCCTCGTCTTCTACCTGCCGTCCGACTGTGGTGAGAAGATGACCCTCTGCATATCCGTCCTGCTCGCTCTCACCGTCTTCCTCTTGCTGATCTCAAAGATCGTCCCCCCCACCTCGCTGGATGTCCCCCTGGTGGGGAAGTACCTGATGTTCACCATGGTTCTGGTCACGTTCTCTATCGTCACCAGTGTGTGTGTGCTCAACGTGCACCATCGATCGCCCACCACACACACCATGCCCCCCTGGGTAAAACTGGTGTTTCTCAACAAGCTTCCTGCTCTGCTCTTCATGCGCCAGCCGAGGAACAGCAGCGAGCGCCAGCGGCTACGTCAGAGGAGGAGGGCACAGGAGCAGAAGGAGGGCGGGCGTGGCGGGGAGCCGGGGGGCCTGATGGTAGGCCTTGGGCTTGGCGGCACTGGTGGGAACGGAGGGGGAACCGCCACGGCGGCGTTTAGCAAAGAGGACAGCGAGCCTTGTACGTGCTATGTGAACCGCGCTTCTGTGAAACAGTTTGGAGGGGATTTGGCGGGTGCAGGAGGGGGATCGATGGACGGTCTGAACAGGGTGAGAGAAAGCGGTCCTGGGAACCCACAGAGGGGGAAGCAAGCAGCTGGGGGTCCTGCATTAACTCAGGCCCTGCTGGCTCAGGCCTGTCCAGGATTTGATGAGGCTGTGGAAGGAGTCCGCTTCATTGCCAACCACATGAAGAGTGAAGACGATGATCAGAGCGTAAGTGACCTTCAGCATCAGCAGACCAAGGCTTCATGAGTGTTTTTAACCGTAAAGCCTCGCTCACACAACGGATGCGCTCCGGTTTCCGACTCTGATCCGTATCTGGATATCTGTTCCCACAAGAGTGCCAAATTATTAGAAATGAAACTAATATGTCTAAAAGTATACCTGTGAACATAACTTAACTGTCATCCAGTGTGAACTGATGTCCTCGTCATTAATAACAAAACTAAACCAGAAAAATATGCAACACCAGTTTTATTTTGAAATAGACCGGGTGCACCTCACTGAAATATGTCTCACTTCCTGTCTCGCTCATGTAATCAGGGGCGTGTCCAGGGGGTGGCCTGGGGTGGCACATGCCACCCTTGGAATCTGAATGGCCACCCCATGTGTCACCACACTGAATTCCTTTTAAATAGTGTTTTCATTGTCCACAAAAGGCTTGGGGTAAAAAAAAAAAAAGCATAACCATTGGTGCCACCCATGCACAAAGTAGTGCCTCATCTGGGCCACCCCATTTTATAAGATCTGGACACGCCACTGCACGTCATTTCTTTGACTTTGTGACAATCTGCATGCGGTGTCTGAAAAAATAGACTCCATGCAGAAGCTTTCCGGAGCTCCGCATGCAGATTTGCCCTGCGCCGCAGCCAGTGTGAATGCTCTGATTGGACTAAATGATTTTTGGTCGGTGCAGAAGCTGTACGGGAACCGGACCGCATCCATTCTGCGTTTGGAGGCTTAACACTGGTAGTGGGAATGAAGAATGATGCAACACTGACTAAATCTCAAATTTAAAACATCATTTGTAACCTTTATTATTTAGAAAAGCATAAACAATACAATCGTCATGTTGGATCAAACTGTTAAACATTCAGATCAGTACCATCCCAACTGTGATTTCCATTGAGTATCGTTATGTTCAGCAACTTTTTGCTATGACTGAATTTCAATCTGTTATTTCTTCTGTGTTGACATTTGTGTTTAATCAGAATTCTCGTCATTTCTAATTCACTGCAGAGGTTGGAAGACATGCGTGTGTTTGAACACGGCATGATTGTGAGGAATGTACTAATCCTGTTAAAGAGGTAGAATTGGTATATCTCTTACACGAATGGAAATATGGGTGAAGTTTGAAATATGATTGGTCATTCTGAGTTTCACATGCCGGCTGAACATGAAAACAGTCTTCTACCCCTACTTCCTGCCTTTGCGGCTGGTGGAAAAGAGATGGGGAGATGCTCAGATTAGAAAAGCCTGTTAAATGCACTAACAATGAAAATTAGCATTCGTGGACTCACTTATCTCGACATGCGACGGGGACGGCTGTTGTTGGTTTAGCGTCCAGGAAACAGCACAGAGCGTCCCGGCTAGTAGAAGCTAACCGTTAGCATTAGCAACTCCACCGCACAGCAGAACTCCTCCAGGCTTGTGCTATTTGTGGAGGTAAAACATCAACGCTGCAGAGCAAACAGAGTCAGTGGTGTTGCTGTTAGCCAATCAGAGGAGAGATGTCAGAATATCAGGAAATAAGACTCCAAGGCCGTTTCTCAATACTCAAGGACGCTAGCATGTCCTTGTGTACTAGACACGTGTGTTCTTGGGAAGGACACCGGAAAGTCTGTTCTACCGAGTACTGGAGGATGGGGACGGCATTTGGAACAGAACCGTACTCCGCTGTGTCCTGGCAACAGGCCAGTATGGTAAAAAATACGACGTGTTAACTAAAGCAATGGAAACAGATCGTCTTTTTCTAGTTTGGTAGGTTACTAGACTGGAAATGAGTGAAAAAGCAGCCAAAGCTCAAGGAAAAACATCCAAAATCCTGAAGAAATGCTGATTAAAATCCCTTTAAGAGTCAATAAAAGAACATATTTAAAGACTCGAGACTTCTGCATCAGTCCTGCAAGCCATGATTGCAGTATCAGTGTTCCTGAGTGTTACTCTGATTTAACTCCTCCTGTCTGTGTGTGCACACACTGTTATGAGTCATCCTTTAATCCAAACACACCAGCAGCCATCAGTGCATCCTGGCCTGCACACTAGTGCCCTATCATGTTATTTAGCTCTGCCTCTTAAAATGCAAGGGTTACTAAAACAGAGCAGGAGCCCAGCAGACGGATCTGATGACGCAGACCAGCGACTATCCAGTGCAGATATGTAATTATAGCAGCAGCATGACGTGTGCATAAAGAAGGAGGACAACTGGAAGCTAGCTGTGGAGCTGAGACAGCAGTCTGAGGGTGGCGCTTTGTTTATTCTGGCATCTCAGGAAAGCGGGCTTCTCTACTGGAATTAAAGACCCAGGAATTAACAGTCCTCTCTAATTCCGTCCATCATCTCCATAGTTACAATCTTGTTGCCATGTCGACGCCGTCTCCTGGTACGGTGCAGCGCTGGTCCCTCCCTTCCTCCTCCTCCTCAAGTTATCATCGCAGGGTTCAAACGTCGAAGCGCCCTCTGTCTCCCTGCGTTCTCCATCTCCCGAGCTTCTCACGCGCTCCTTTTTCTCCTTGACTTGTGTCGGACCTCATAAGAGCTGTGTGCCGGAACGAGTCTCCGCTCACATTAACCCTTCCACCTCCATTAACCCTCAGCACAGCTACAGGCAGGAGGGAGGGCTGGATAGGAAACGACAGGATGCAAAAGTGTGATTCTGCTCCCCTGAATCTCTCACTCACCCCTTTAATCCCCCTCCACAGGTCAGCGAGGACTGGAAGTACGTCGCCATGGTGATCGACCGCCTCTTCCTGTGGATCTTTGTGTTTGTCTGTGTCTTTGGCACGATGGGCATGTTCCTGCAGCCTCTCTTCCAGAATTACACAGCCAAAAGCATCACCCACACACCTGGCTGACTCTCCGATCACAAACACGCTAACAGACAGCTCCCTGACCAATCAGCACTGCAGGACGTGGGTCGAAGGTGTGTGCGCGTGTGCGTGTGTGTGTGTGTGTGTGAGTGTGTGAGGGGGCAGGTCTTAGTTTTATTGTATTTATGGAACTGGAATCAAAGCTGGTACCGAACAGTTTCACATCCGTTAAGTTTATCGCAACGTTTTTTTGCAACGAGAGAACATTTTTCTTGTACGAAGACGAAAGGAGAACACCCCGAACTCTCTGACCTCCTCTCTCTGGTGGAGAGGTCTCTCCTCTCTGAGTCTGGATGCTGTGACGATCCTCAAAGCCAGCCAAACAAACCCTGACTGCTTTACTGCAACAGACATTACTCGATAGCGATGCTGATGACTTGTATTTGTGTCGGAGAGGGAAGGGAGGTCCATCCTGAGTTGTTATTCCTCTGAAATCCACCACGTCTGTGAACTGACTCCATATATTTTAATCATAGCATAGCGGCTTGCCACAATATAGCAGTGAGTAACTCTAATAAGAATATATCTATGTGAGGGTTTGAGGTGTGATTGTACAGACGTGAAAATGATGTAAACTGTGTTACACCGCCAGTGACGCGTCCACTAACACGATACGTGCAAGACCTGCAGATCAAAGGGAGACGTTTTATTCTGAAGGAGTCAAAACCTAGCAGATAAGAGGATGATCATGCATGGAGAGGGGTCTTTGTCAGCGGAGGACGGCTGCAGCCAGCTGTGCCAGAGTCCACAGCTGCTCCCGAGAAAGGGAGGAATCTGAGCCAAGATGGAGGACTTTGCTGAAAAGGGGAGCGTTTGGCTAAAGGGATACTTCAGATTTGTTGTAGGGGTTTGTGGGAAGGCCAGACAGCACTTTCAACAAGTTTCTGTTTGAAGAAATTATTTAATTATGACAGATTGATAGGCTAACAGTCAGAGTGACGGGTAAGACCAAAGTGGATTATTACCATCCTAATTCATTCACTGCCAGCCGTTTCCGGATCAGAAAAGCTCCTGGCTGTTGTGTTGGGCTCTTGAATAAACTCTGCTCAAGCGATAACGTGGAGCAACCATCACCTTTTATTTTTAGCCTCGAACTGTTCACATACCACACATTTCCTCTCGCCCGTAAGTACCGCCCCCCTAGTGGCGTATGAATGTATATCAATATAGATTACACCACACTGGCTGCCAGCGTTTTTGAGTGTTTTTACTGTTTTTGAAGAGCGTTGTGCTCTGTGATGACGTCAACGGCAAAACTAGCAAAAGAAAGAGTAGACTCACTCCTTACATCACGAAGAATCGGCGTGTTTCCTGCGTTATTTGAGAAAAAGGCTCATGGTGCGCTGTCATAGTCATCAATGACAGTAAATGAGTTCAAGGCGTGAAACATTGAAAAAAACCTTTTAAGGATTATTTCTGATTCAAACGGTTCACTCTGAGGACATGAGAATAGTCTCCTACACTTATCTCCTGCATTAGCTTCTGATAGAAAACAGACAGTGAAACTCTAGGATTAGAAAAGCCTGACGGATCTACGTCACGCTGTCACTTCCCATCTATGGACTCACCCATCTGGACTCAGCGTCCAGGAAACAGCAGAGAGCGTCTCGACTAGTAGAAGCTAACCATTAGCACTAACAGCTCCGCCACGCAGCAGAACTCCTCCAGGCTTGTGTTATTTGCGGAGGTAAAACATCAAAGTTGCAGAGCAGACATAGTCAGTGGTAGGGTCGTGTTGCTGTTAGCCAATCAGTGGAGAGATGTCCACATATCAGGAAGTGGCAGTATGAATCCTGTCGTCTGAAGCTACTTTCTCCACTGGCTGAATTTCCTGATTCAGGCACATCTGAGATATTTTTCCCTCCAGAAAACGACTCGCGAGGCATTAATTCCTACCAGAAACCAGCAGAGGCATTGATTAAACGAGTTTCCAACACTTTTAAAGATGGCTACTGCGGTCTTAGCTAGCCGTTAGCTTGTTTTGGCTTAAATTCATGAAAACTTCTGAACTATCCCTTTAGTAGGAAACCCGGGTCAGTTAATCAGGCGTTTGGGGTGTGTGTAATAACCCGTCTTCACATCTGTTCATTTAATTCAGTCGTGATCACCAGAACGGGAGCCTCTTAGCTCACGTTCCTGACCCACATCCTAGACGCTGCTCTTTGTTTCCTGCTCCTTCTGTTCCTTTGTTTTCTACGCAGCAAATTTGTTTCTAAAATCCTCTTTTTTTTGCCGTCTCTCATGTTTCAATAACTAAAAGGAACACATGGACCTGGCCAACATAGAGCTGTCATAGAAGGGAACATGTTATGCAACATTTGTATGAAATTAAAAAAAGAAAAATGCAAATGAAGAAGAGGAATAAAGCTGGATCAGTTGCTGCACTAAAGACTGTAAAATGCTTCCCTTTCCTCCTCGCTGTCACCCGCCAGCTTTTTACAGCCGTGCGGCCAGGAGCCTGCAGCATCTCCCGGTGGGAGCTGCCTCTCAAGGACGGGATTACCCACAGGGATCCCCGGCAGATCCCAAACAAGTGTGAAAAGCCTTTCTGAGACTGCGGAGCCAGAGTGCGTCTGCCTGCTCCCTTTGACCTTTGCACTCTTCGTCCTTTTCTTCTCACTTCCGTTCATATTTCACCCTCCCCTTCCTGACTCTAAAACCTGCTCACTGTAAGCAGCCCAATAAAGGTTGTAGGTTCATATTATTCCTGCTGTGTTTCTCTCTCTTTGTTTAACGCGAGCACAAAAGCATCAGAGCGACCGTGTTGCTCCGAACAGCCGTTAATCTCACCCACAGGATGAGAAGACTGACAGAAACATTTCCTGGCTTTCTAATATTGAAATTAGCTATTTCCTTTTTGCACGCACACACAGCTAAAGTTTCTTTTAGGAAGCAGAGCTTTTTTGAACAATCATGGGCGGGCTCAGTCAAGGCCACTCCAGTTTCTCACTGTTCTGCTGCAAAAAGCAGGAATTTGCATCGTCAGCATTAAACGTCTCTCATGCAGCAAGTAAATGCATCCAGGACGGTTTTTATTATTCACATATGACATAAATGTCCGACTGTGACGAGTGCTGGAAGCTGCAGGATGGAGTAAATTTTATGTTCTACTCAGAAAAATGGCTGCTGCAGCCAAACTGAGGACACTTACTGCCACCTGGTGTCCGTTGTTTGGTTTCAGTGACCGTCTTGCAGAGTTGGTCAGCTTTAATAATAATTCCAGAAGGACGTTCTTTTTGCTTGAAGGTGCAGCAAAATGCAAAAGTGACTTTTTGAGATTTTATTGATAAAGTTTCAAAGGGAAATGACAGAAAAGGACACCAAACAATTACAGCCGTGTGTGTGCGTCAATGTGTGTGTCTGCGTGCGTGCATGTGTGCATGTTTGTGTGTGTGTCCTTGCATTCATGTGTGCATGTGTGTGTGTGTGTGTGTGTTTGCACATTGGTGCCATGACAGGATGTCCTGGATGGGTTTTCTCTCCTGCCCACGCCGTTTTCCTCCATGGAGCGCGTGGAGTGCAGTCTGCAGACTGGACGCCTCTCTGAGGCGGAGGTGCTTCACTTCTTCTCTGGCTTGTCGTTGAACTCCAGGAAGAAGTCGTTGCAGGCTACGGTCAGAGCTCCAACCAAGATGACAAACTCAGTGAAATCCACCTCCCCGTCGTTGTTGGAGTCCAGGTCATTCATGACCTTGTCCACTGCCTCCTTGTCCTGAGCGTTCTGTGTTTGACGGAACAAAAAGCAAAAAGCACGTCCATCAGAGCGTTTAATTCTTTAAACACATGACTGCTGTCTTACCCCCAGGTAGTTTCCGAGCTCTGTGGTGAGCAGCTCTTTAAGTTCGGCCCGGCTCAGCGTGTACTTGTCCCCCTCGTTTCCAGAGTACTTGTGAAACGTCTGGATCATGAGCTGCATGGCGTTCTCCAGGGTGGAGGCATTCTCTGATTTGGGCATGGACATTCTGGAAGCAGAGAGGGAGGTGTAGGCGGTGTCAGAACCTGCCTGCAGACAGAGAGACGTCCACTGCAGGAGCTGAAAGATGGATCCATGGACGTAATTTTCACTTTAGAGGTGGGGGGGGGTGGGGGGGGGGGGGGGGGGGGGGCACGGGGTGGGGGTGGGGGTATCTTTACAGTATGTTCTAATGGGAAACGGGCTTCAACACAAACGGTTGTTTTCCGCTTGGTCCTAGAGCTCAACCAGTGTCAGTTTAATATAGCTTAATATTATTTTTGGATGGTAAAAAGTGCAGGGGTCAAAACTTGACTTTGGAAAAAGTGGGGGGGGGGGGGGGAACATGTCCCCCCAAAATTACGTCCATGGCTGGATCAGTCCAGTCCAGCTGAGAGATAACAGAAACACCACAAGATACCGATCTGATCCTGATAAATGAAACATCTGCCAAGTTGGAAACTCAAAAAAGTTTATTCAGTTTCCTCTCATGAACTCTCTCCACCATTCTGATCAGGTTGTGCAACGTTTAACTCGGTTTGAACACGAGTCAGCCGACTCGAGTGAAACTGGAAACAACACGCTGACAGAACAGCGACCGGATCGGGCTTTTACTTTAGCTCCAGACCACCAGAGACAGCTTCACACTCCGGTCCTTCCTGAACCTCCACCACCTCTGGACCGCGAACACTTTTCCTTTCTGTTGGTCAGCTCTTACTCCGGACATGAATCAGCAGTAACACACTTATAAAAAAATGAACATTTGGTATTTCTACTCTGCTGCTTGAGAGGTAACAACATAGTTCCCATCTCTGGATCTTACCTGAGTGGAGGTGAGGTGCCGGCCTATCAGCTCAGGAGCAGACACAGGAGGTGATGACGGCTGATTTAACGGAGAACGTGGACAGCAGCGTCTTAAATACACCCCTTACTCCACCCAGACCTCATCCAGCCCTCCTTCCACCTGTCGCCCCTCTCCTCCACCTTCTCCGTTTACGCATCAGACACCTGCCACCCGCCAACCCACACACAGAAGATCCACCTCCTCCTTTCATTTACCGCCTGCCAGGCTGATGGCACAGCAAATACAACAGTGCATTAAGTAAATGGATTTTTTCTTAAATATGATCAGGAACTGAGGACTTTTAGTTCATCAGAGGAAAGAAAACACATTTAACGGGATATTTATGCAAAGCAGATTTCCTAAAAGGTGACTGAGCGGTGATAATTTATCACCATTTCTTTTGCAGTTAATAGAAGATTATCCAACTCTGCTGTTGCACAACGCAGTCCAGACAAACGCAGGCAGCGTTAAACTAAACTAAACCCCGGCACATCAGGCCATCTAACACGGATGAACAGGGGCGGCGTTAGGCCCGGCTACTTGGGCTGAAGCCCCGGATGTTTCATGAAAAGCCCCGGATCTCAAACGTGGAAGTAACATGCAGTACCAAAGTCCAACAGAGAGGGCGCAGCTGGCAGTAGTTTGTATACAGCCTGCCTGAGCCTCCACCACTGAAGAAGAAGCCCTTCAGCAACCGGCTTCTTCTACACTCTCTGCCTGAAACGCATGAGTGAAGATGGACATAAGGACGTTTTTTAGACCAATAGTACGACAGAACCCCAGCTTTGATGAGACTGGTGCTGACTCAGGTTTGTGAGTCTTATTTGAAAATATTTGTTGTGCTGCTGGTTTGCCTAAAGTTAGCTTACTATCAGATAAAGTTGTTGGAGAAAGAAAGGGAATATTTACTATCATCTCACACTAAACACTAACAGGAACAATACTCTGCCCTGAATATGCTTAATATGTAGCTTCAGATTAAAAATTATGTGGTACAAGACAAATATGATGTTGACTAGTGCGCGCGCGTGTGTGTTAAGCCCCGGATCTTCTTCAGTCCTACATCCGCCCCTGCTGATGAACGATGGAGTTATAGTCGTGAGCAATCTCAGGCCGTATGTCAACATCTGTGACCATTTCAGCTTATAACACCCAGTATTTTGGCTCAGTATCTTTAAAAATGACCTAATTGTTGCCATTTTCATGCTGTCAAGTATGAGGAGCTCTGGACGCCATCTTTAATGCAGTTGATTCTGAAATTTAACCGGTTGTAGATCTGCATCGAATGACCACGTTCAATAAAATCCACCCAGCGGGTTGGTTGCTAACACCAGAAACAGAAGCAGACCACGAAAGGAGGAAGTTCCTGCAGCGGTGGGACAAGATGGAGGCTGAGGAAGAGGAGGGTCATGTCTGGTACTGTATCCTAGCATTAGCGCAGCACCAGTGAACAGAGCCATCACGCCTGCTGGTCATGCAGAACCTTCACACGAAGACTTTGCAGGAAACTCACAGAAAACACAACAGCACTGGAACGTGCACGCTTGTGCAAACACAAGTGAAAGACTCTACGTGATTAAGCAAACACCACGACGACAGGCACCTTGGGGCAGGAACAGAAACCTTCCTGAAATAGTCGAGTGAGGGCACCTTTCAGCGGGAACAGAAACTTCCTTTAAATACTTCATGTCATGAATCCACCTGGCTGCTGCAGACAGCTACAGGGTTTTGAGAAGGCACAAACACTTTCGAACACCATTAAATATATATCTTTGATAGGGCTACAATGGAAAGAGCCTCTTCTTGTTCGTCTTGCTGCAGAGTTTCGTGTCAGAGAGCGAGGCCTGGCTGGGTGCGTGCATGCACCATATGTGTGGGTAGTGTTGCAGAGCGGAGGTTCGAACACAATAGCGAGCGTACTGTGTGTCAGGATCTGGTTGCAGTAGCCCGTGCACATAAAAGCTGCTGACCCTGACCAGTCAGGGAATTTATCGCTGAACTTAGCCAGTGTTGCAGGAAGAGGGAGGCAGGTGGCATTGTTTCCTGGCTTTCTCAGTAAAACGCAAAAGGAAGAAAAATAATTAAGCAGCCAGACGATTCAGAGGAACACTGAAGAGCTTCCTTGAAGGAACGCTACTTGTGACTGTCATGGCAGAGTTTTACATGATTCGTGGATGAACCGTGGTGTTCTTTTTGAATAAAGATCAGTCGCTGAGCTTCACGTGAAATACAAACATTTTCTTCTTCTCTCTTTTCCCGAATTAGCCGCAGAAATGATGGTTTCGGAAAAAGCAGGTCTCTTCTGCGTCACAGGGAAAATTAGCCTCGGCATTCACGCTCTGCAGCTATCAAACGGGGATGGCTACTTTCTAATCCCGCTTGTTTTGTACCTCGGATTTCACATATGATGTCCGGGAACTTCAAAGACACTAATTCCATGCTGTCGTTCTTTTAAAAACACAGACACAGTTTTGTTTACCTGTTTTGTCGCTACGTTTCGCCGTCAAACGCAGAAACAGTTTTGTTTACCTGTTTTGTCGCTACGTTTCGCCGTCAAACGCAGAAACAGTTTTGTTTACCTGTTTTGTCGCTACGTTTCGCCGTCAAACGCAGAAACAGTTTTGTTTACCTGTTTTGTCGCTACGTTTCGCCGTCAAACGCAGAAACAGTTTTGTTTACCTGTTTTGTCGCTACGTTTCGCCGTCAAACGCAGAAACAGTTTTGTTTACCTGTTTTGTCGCTACGTTTCGCCGTCAAACGCAGAAACAGTTTTGTTTACCTGTTTTGTCGCTACGTTTCGCCGTCAAACGCAGAAACAGTTTTGTTTACCTGTTTTGTCGCTACGTTTCGCCGTCAAACGCACAAACAGTTTTGTTTACCTGTTTTGTCGCTACGTTTCGCCGTCAAACGCAGAAACAGTTTTGTTTACCAGTTTTGTCGCTACGTTTCGCCGCTAAACGCAGAAACAGTTTTGTTTACCTGTTTTGTCGCTACGTTTCGCCGTCAAACGCAGAAACAGTTTTGTTTACCTGTTTTGTCGCTACGTTTCGCCGTCAAACGCAGAAACAGTTTTGTTTACCTGTTTTGTCGCTACGTTTCGCCGTAAAACGCAGAAACAGTTTTGTTTACCTGTTTTGTCGCTACGTTTCGCCGTAAAACGCAGAAACAGTTTTGTTTACCTGTTTTGTCGCTACGTTTCGCCGCAAAACGCAGAAACAGTTTTGTTTACCTGTTTTGTCGCTACGTTTCGCCGCAAAACGCAGAAACAGTTTTGTTTACCTGTTTTGTCGCTACGTTTCGCCGCAAAACGCAGAAACAGTTTTGTTTACCTGTTTTGTCGCTACGTTTCGCCGCTAAACACAGAAACAGTTTTGTTTACCTGTTTTGTCGCTACGTTTCGCCGTCAAACGCAGAAACAGTTGTGTTTACCTGTTTTGTTGCTACGTTTCGCCGTAAAACACAGAAACAGTTTTGTTTACCTGTGTTGTCGCTACATTTCGCCGTTAAACACAGAAACAGTTTTGTTTACCTGTGTTGTCGCTACGTTTCGCCGTTAAACACAGAAACAGTTTTGTTTACCTGTGTTGTCGCTACGTTTCGCCGTAAAACACAGAAACAGTTTTGTTTACCTGTTTTGTCGCTACGTTTCGCCGTCAAACGCAGAAACAGTTTTGTTTACCTCTTCTGTCGCTACGTTTCGCCGTCAAACGCAGAAACAGTTTTGTTTACCTGTTTTGTCGCTACGTTTCGCCGTCAAACGCAGAAACAGTTTTGTTTACCTGTTTTGTCGCTACGTTTCGCCGTCCAACGCACAAACAGTTTTGTTTACCTGTTTTGTCGCTATGTTTCGCCGTCCAACGCACAAACAGTTTTGTTTACTGTTTTATCGCTACGTTTCGCCGTCAAACGCAGAAACACTTTGTTTACCTGTTTTGTCGCTACGTTTCGCCGTCAAACGCAGAAACAGTTTTGTTTACCTGTTTTGTCGCTACGTTTCACCGTCAAAAGCAGAAACAGTTTTGTTAACCTGTTTTATCGCTACGTTTCACCGCTAAACACAGAAACAGTTTTGTTTACCTGTTTTGTCGCTACGTTTCGCCGCTAAACACAGAAACAGTTTTGTTTACCTGTCTTGTCGCTACGTTTCGCCGCTAAACACAGAAACAGTTTTGTTTACCTGTTTTGTCGCTACGTTTCGCCGTAAAACACAGAAACAGTTTTTGTTTTGTCGCTACGTTTCGCCGTAAAACACAAACAGTTTTGTTTACCTGTTTTGTCGCTACGTTTTGCCGTAAAACACAAACAGTTGTGTTTACCTGTTTTGTCGCTACGTTTCGCCGTAAAACACAGAAACAGTTTTGTTTACCTCTTCTGTCGCTACGTTTCGCCGTAAAACACAGAAACAGTTTTGTTTACCTCTTCTGTCGCTACGTTTCGCCGTCAAACGCAGAAACAGTTTTGTTTACCTGTTTTGTCGCTACGTTTCGCCGTCAAACGCAGAAACAGTTTTGTTTACCTGTTTTGTCGCTACGTTTCGCCGTAAAACACAAACAGTTTTGTTTACCTGTTTTGTCGCTACGTTTCGCCGTAAAACACAAACAGTTTTGTTTACCTGTTTTGTCGCTACGTTTCGCCGTAAAACACAAACAGCTGTGTTTACCTGTTTTGTCGCTACGTTTCACCGTAAAACGCAGAAACAGTTTTGTTTACCTCTTCTGTCGCTACGTTTCGCCGTCAAACGCAGAAACAGTTTTGTTTACCTCTTCTGTCGCTACGTTTCGCCGTCAAACGCAGAAACAGTTTTGTTTACCTGTTTTGTCGCTACGTTTTGCCGTCAAACGCAGAAACAGTTTTGTTTACCTGTTTTGTCGCTACGTTTCGCCGTCAAACGCACAAACAGTTTTGTTTACTGTTTTGTCGCTACGTTTCGCCGTCAAACGCAGAAACAGTTTTGTTTACCTGTTTTGTCGCTACGTTTCGCCGCTAAACACAGAAACAGTTTTGTTTACCTGTTTTGTCGCTACGTTTCGCCGTAAAACACAGAAACAGTTTTGTTTACCTCTTCTGTCGCTACGTTTCGCCGTTAAACACAGAAATAGTTTTGTTTACCTGTTTTGTCGCTACGTTTCGCCGTAAAACACAGAAACAGTTTTGTTTACCTGTGTTGTCGCTACGTTTCGCCGTCAAACACAGAAACAGTTTTGTTTACCTCTTCTGTCGCTACGTTTCGCCGTTAAACACAGAAATAGTTTTGTTTACCTGTTTTGTCGCTACGTTTCGCCGTAAAACACAGAAACAGTTTTGTTTACCTGTGTTGTCGCTACGTTTCGCCGTTAAACACAGAAACAGTTTTGTTTACCTCTTCTGTCGCTACGTTTCGCCGTAAAACACAGAAACAGTTTTGTTTACCTGTGTTGTCGCTACGTTTCGCCGTTAAACACAGAAACAGTTTTGTTTACCTGTGTTGTCGCTACGTTTCGCCGTTAAACACAGAAATCGTTTTGTTTACCTGTTTTGTCGCTACGTTTCTCCGTAAAACACAGAAACAGTTTTGTTTACGTCTTCTGTCGCTACGTTTCGCCGTAAAACACAGAAACAGTTTTGTTTACCTGTGTTGTCGCTACGTTTCGCCGTAAAACACAGAAACAGTTTTGTTTACCTGTTTTGTCGCTACGTTTCGCCGTAAAACACAAACAGTTTTGTTTACCTGTTTTGTCGCTACGTTTCGCCGTAAAACACAGAAACAGTTTTGTTTACCTGTTTTGTCGCTACGTTTCGCCGTAAAACACAAACAATTTTGTTTACCTGTTTTGTCGCTACGTTTCGCCGTAAAACACAAACAGCTGTGTTTACCTGTTTTGTCGCTACGTTTCACCGTAAAACGCATAAACAGTTTTGTTTACCTCTTCTGTCGCTACGTTTCGCCGTCAAACGCAGAAACAGTTTTGTTTACCTCTTCTGTCGCTACGTTTCGCCGTCAAACGCAGAAACAGTTTTGTTTACCTGTTTTTTCGCTACGTTTCGCCGTCAAACGCAGAAACAGTTTTGTTTACCTGTTTTGTCGCTACGTTTCGCCGTCAAACGCAGAAACAGTTTTGTTTACCTGTTTTGTCGCTACGTTTCGCCGTCAAACGCACAAACAGTTTTGTTTACTGTTTTGTCGCTACGTTTCGCCGTCAAACGCAGAAACAGTTTTGTTTACCTGTTTTGTCGCTACGTTTCGCCGCTAAACACAGAAACAGTTTTGTTTACCTGTTTTGTCGCTACGTTTCGCCGTAAAACACAGAAACAGTTTTGTTTACCTGTTTGGTCGCTACGTTTCGCCGTAAAGCACAGAAACAGTTTTGTTTACCTCTTCTGTCGCTACGTTTCGCCGTTAAACACAGAAATAGTTTTGTTTACCTGTTTTGTCGCTACGTTTCGCCGTAAAACACAGAAACAGTTTTGTTTACCTGTGTTGTCGCTACGTTTCGCCGTTAAACACAGAAACAGTTTTGTTTACCTCTTCTGTCGCTACGTTTCGCCGTAAAACACAGAAACAGTTTTGTTTACCTGTGTTGTCGCTACATTTCGCCGTTAAACACAGAAACAGTTTTGTTTACCTGTGTTGTCGCTACGTTTCGCCGTTAAACACAGAAATCGTTTTGTTTACCTGTTTTGTCGCTACGTTTCTCCGTAAAACACAGAAACAGTTTTGTTTACCTCTTCTGTCGCTACGTTTCGCCGTAAAACACAGAAACAGTTTTGTTTACCTGTGTTGTCGCTACGTTTCGCCGTTAAACACAGAAACAGTTTTGTTTACCTGTGTTGTCGCTACGTTTCGCCGTTAAACACAGAAACAGTTTTGTTTACCTGTGTTGTCGCTACGTTTCGCCGTTAAACACAGAAATAGTTTTGTTTACCTGTTTTGTCGCTACGTTTCGCCGTAAAACACAGAAACAGTTTTGTTTACCTCTTCTGTCGCTACGTTTCGCCGTTAAACACAGAAATAGTTTTGTTTACCTGTTTTGTCGCTACGTTTCGCCGTAAAACACAGAAACAGTTTTGTTTACCTCTTCTGTCGCTACGTTTCGCCGTAAAACACAGAAACAGTTTTGTTTACCTCTTCTGTCGCTACGTTTCGCCGTCAAACGCAGAAACAGTTTTGTTTACCTGTTTTGTCGCTACGTTTCGCCGTCAAACGCAGAAACAGTTTTGTTTACCTGTTTTGTCGCTACGTTTCGCCGTAAAACACAGAAACAGTTTTGTTTACCTGTTTTGTCGCTACGTTTCGCCGTAAAACACAAACAGTTTTGTTTACCTGTTTTGTCGCTACGTTTCGCCGTAAAACACAAACAGCTGTGTTTACCTGTTTTGTCGCTACGTTTCACCGTAAAACGCAGAAACAGTTTTGTTTACCTCTTCTGTCGCTACGTTTCGCCGTCAAACGCAGAAACAGTTTTGTTTACCTCTTCTGTCGCTACGTTTCGCCGTCAAACGCAGAAACAGTTTTGTTTACCTGTTTTTTCGCTACGTTTCACCGTCAAACGCAGAAACAGTTTTGTTTA